GGTAGTCCCAGGAGGGGCCGCTGCTCACGGTCACCTGCACCCAGGGCTGCCTAGTAGCCACGTGGCAGAGAGCATGCCATAACCTCTACCGTCCCATCTTTCTCCTGACGCTCTATTTCCCCTTAATCTACTCTCAGACCCTCCGGCTGCCCAACACCAGGCGTGGGCTCCGCGGTCACTTTGGCCTTCGCGCCCTTGGGGTTTCACCTGCACGTCCCCACTGCCCAGACCCCCCACCCCCCCCATTCCTGCTCCGCCTTCCCCTGCCAGGCCCGCCCCCTCCTGGACCTCGGAGGCTCACCCCATCACTGAGGTTTTTAAGTCTCTGTCCCCTGACTGCTGTTCCCCCAGTTAGGGGTCTTTTAAGATATGTATGAGCCTCCCCTTCCCAAAAGGGCAGGAACCTCTCAGGCACGCGCACACATCTTGCTTTGCTCAATGCCCCGCGATGGGAGGAGGTGATGACCATTGAGGACTCAATGGCAGGTGGAGAGCAATGCCGTGATGCATTGACGCGTGAGGGGACGCGGTATCGCAATGACGCACGCGAGGGGACGCGGGGCCCCTTACGCTTTCTGCGCTCCTCCTCGGCAGCCTTGAACGTCTTGGCGTAGAGCGTGCGCGTGCTCTCCAGTTCGTCCTCTGTCTGCCGCCTCTCGCACGCGGCCGCCGAGTGGCGGTCGTGGCTCCTCTCCAGCTGCATCTGCAGGTGGGCCAGGTGCTGCTGGACCCCGTAGAGGTTCACCCCTAGCTCCTGCCGCTGGGCTCGGCTCTGCTTGGTGGCTACGCCCTGGAAGGCAGAGAGAGTCAGGGTCACGGGCACGTGGGGGTCCAGCCTCGTGGAAGACGGGACAGATACGCACCAGCTCTTGAAGTTCCAGTTTCAGCTTCTCTATCTGTCGGGTGAGGTAGTTCTTCAGGGCGGCCTGGAATCTCACCATCAGCGGCTAAAACCATGGAAAACAACTGCGGTTACCTTCCCTCCTGCCCAAGGCCTAGCGGGGCCCACAGTCATCCCTCTGTGGGGCAGGGGTGCCTCCCCGCATCTGCCTGCAATTCTTACTCTGGAAGCCACAAATTAAAAGTGCTCATCCCAGGCCTACAGAACTGTGCGCAGATTTTAGCAAAATGATAAGTAAGGTGGATGTCACCCTAGTTTTGCCAGGGGCCAGGGGGTGGGAACGGCCCGGGATGCCAGCCTCCAGTAAGTGCTCCGAGAATTTTCCCTGTGGACCCTGGCTCCCTCTGGCAGCTGCCCGGACAAAGCTTTCCAATGAGCTAAACGAATCCCAGTTTTCCTTTGTTCTTTGCCAGAGGCTGGGTGGGGGAGCTGGCATGAGGCAGGTACACTGGGGCGTGGCTCTCAGCTGGGTGGGGTGGAATTTCCTCTCGTTCCTACCATCCAATGTTGGGGGACACTTGTGGTTGTTGCATTGAGGGAGGGGTGCTCCCTTCACTTGGTGGGTGAAGGCCAGGGATGCTCAGCCTCCTACAATGCCTCGGACAAGCCCCACCTCTCCCGCAAAGAGAGATCAGGGCGGGAGTGGCAGTGGCTGGCGCTGTGTGGCACAGACTTTAGGTAGTGAGTCTGCAAGGAGCATGCAGAGCACGGGCCCCAAACAGTGCAGGTAAACGGGGCAGTGAACAGGAGGGGTTGGCGTGTGCTTTGGGAGCTGAGGGCGGAAGAGGCCTCCATTAGCTCCCTGTGGGGGCAGCACAGCCCTGTGATGGCTCCTTACATGGTCTGGGTCCAAAACCACCAGGTGGGATCCTTCATCCTCTGCCTCATCGCTCCCCTCGGACTCCATCCTGTCCTCCAGGGTGCCGCCCTCAAGGCTTAACTGCTGGATCCGGTCCAGGAATGCAGGCTGGGTGGGCTGCCCCAAGGGGAATCCTGGGGAGGGACAGTAAACACCATTGGGAGCTGGTGTCTCCAGAGTACTTGGCAGACCCATTCTGGGGTAGTCATCACCCTCATGGAGCAAGACAGAAAGAGAAAGAAGCAGCGCCCCAATGGCACTGCACGGGTTCAGAAATGTCATTTACGGCTCTTGTATTCCTTGGTTCTATGTTGTCCCCAGAGAGGTAGTCCCCACACTTTAAAGGTGGACAAGAAGGACATTTATTTTATAGCAACTCCTTTATAGATAAATTGACTAAAAAGGAGGTCACTCACTGATGGACCAAATTTGATTTTTTTTTTGAAGTGAGAAACAAGGGCGGTGCCTGTGGCTCAAAGGAGTAGGGTGCCAGCCCCATATGCCGGAGATAGTGGGTTCAAACCCAGCCCCGGCCAAAAACTGCAAAAAAAAAAAAAAAAAAAGTGGGAAACAAGTCTGGGCGCAGTGGCTCATGTCTGTAATCCCAGCACTTTGGGAGGCTGAGGAGAGTGGATTGCCTGAGATCAGGGCTTTGAGACCAGCCTGAGCAAGAGCAAGACCCCATCTCTATTAAAAATAGAAAAACTAGCTGGGCATTGTGGTGGGCACCTGTAGTCCTAGCTATTTGGGAGGCTGAGGCAGGAGGATTGCTGAAACCCAGAAGTTTGAAGTTGCTGTGAGCTACAATGCCATAGCACTCTACCAGGGGTGACAGAATGAGACTTTGTCTCAAAAAAAAGAAAAGAAAAAAGAAAAGGGAAATAGCTGATGAGATTGAAAAATAAATTAAATTATAAATAAGGCTCTAGTTTTAGCTTTTCTTTTTTATTATTATTTATTTATTTTGCAGTTTGGGGCTGGGGCTGGCTTTGAACCTGCCACCTCTGGCATATGGGGCCAGTGCCCTACTCCTTTGAGCCACAAGTGCTGCCCTGCTTTTCTTTTTATTTTTTTTGAGACAGAGTCTCATTTTGTCACCTTTGGTAGAGTGCTGTGGCATCACAGCTCACAGCAACCTCAAACTCTTGGGCTTAAGAGATTCTCTTGCCTTAGCCTCCCAAGTAGCTGGGACTCCAGGCACCCACCACAAGGCCTAGCTATTTTTTTGTTGTTTGTTTGTTGTTATTGTAGTTGTTTTAGCTGGCCCGGGCTGGGTTCAAACCCGCCCCCCTCAGGTGTATGTGGCTGGTGCCGTAACCACTGCACTACGGTGCTGAGCCTAGTTTCAGCTTTTCTATCCTTCTGACTGTTCTTTGTAACTAGTTTGTGCCATTTTCATGTCACTAATGAATAATGCAAGGTTTGGGCCATCCGTGCACTGCACCATTAAGGACTAAGTAATCTCCCAATCTGCTCTCCCATGCACACAAAACTGGGGTACCAGAGCCAAGTACAAAGACAGGGGGTCCCAGGAGAGCCTTTGCAACTCAGCAGACAGATGCATGCTCAGGAGGCTGCTGTCACAGAGCGCCTCTTTCTGAGCACAGAGAGCAGTGACAAATGGCCTCTGGGGGCTGGAGGTGGGCATCAGTGGGTCTCAGGTAAGGCCTTCTGTGACACTCAGTACCTACCTCTCTGTAAAATGGAGAATGGTTCTTACTTATGGTCAGGTTAGAGGAAGGATTGAATGAAATAAAACAGTAAATGGGCTTGGCACCCATAGCTCAGTGGTTAGGGTGCCAGCCACATATACCAGGGTTGGCAGGTTCATATCCAGCCCGGGTCTGGTAAACAGCAATGACAACAACAACAACAACAAAAATAGGTGGGCATTGTGGTGGGCACCTGTAGTCCCAGCTACTGGGAGGCTGAGAGTTTGAGGTTGCTGTGAGCTGTGACGCCAAGGCACTCTACCAAGGGCAACGTAGTGAGACTCTGGCTCGAAACCAAAACCAAAATAAAACAGTAAATGCTCAATAAATGTTATCCATATCTGTTAATTACACACACACACATATTTTTTTTTTTTGTAGAGACAGAGTCTCACTTTATCGCCCTCGGTAGAGTGCTGTGGCATCACACGGCTCACAGCAACCTCCAACTCCTGGGCTTAGGTGATTCTCTTGCCTCGGCCTCCAGAGTAGGTGAGACTACAAGCACCCCCACAAGGCCTGGGCATTTTTTTGTTGCAGTTTGGCTGGGGCTGGGTCTGAACCTGCCATCCTCAGTATATGGGGCCGGCGCCCCACCCACTGAGCCACAGGTGCCGCCCCACACACATATTTTTTGAGACAGGGTCTGGTTTTCCTGCCCAGGTTGGACTATAATGGTGCCATCCTAGCTGATTGCAACCTCAAACCCCTGGGTTCAAGCAAACCTGCTTCAGCCTCTCAAGTAGCTGGGACTACAGGCGTGCATCACCACACTCGGCTAATTTTTGATAGATAAGAGGTCTTGCTGTGTTGCCCAGCTGGTCTCAAATTCCACAGGCTCAAATCATCCTCCTGTCTTGGTCTCCCAAATTTCCTGGGATTACAGGTGTGAGCCGCTGTGGCCGGCTAAATAATACTTTTATCTTTAGGCTCCCAGCCATTCGGGTAACATTTGGGAAAGAAGTGGGTGGCATCACTTGCACAGAGGGTGTGGCAGGACCGCCCGTGGGTCCCGCACCTGACTCCTGCTCGCACCTGACTCCAGCTCGTCCCTGCTCAGCAAGGCGTCTTCCATCTCCGACATGGTGCTTCCTTCACTCAGCCTGAAGCGGTGTTGCAACCCCATGGGAAAGAAGACCTTCTCCAGCACCTCTTCTTTGGATTTTGCCTATGGCAAAAACAACCAAAACTAAATCAATGAGGGCTTACTCACTGCTGAGAAGTTGTTTGGTTCTGATTCATCACATTTGTGAAAGTTGCTGAAACCAAAATGGAGTCACTTACATTGAAGAAAACCCAAGACATGAAAAACAGAGCCAGGGAAAGCTGTGAAGGGAGAGGGTTCTTATAACAGAAACTGGGGCAGGGGTCTCTGTGGAAACCATAACTCCCTCCCCCCGTGGGCCCTCACAACCTCACTTCCACCAGGATGTCTGCCCAGCAGCTGCCTGTCCAGCCTCGACTGGCGCCACCCTTGTTATTGGTCCTTGTATCTCAGAACAATTATGTCATCCTCCTCATTTTCCCTCTAAAAACCTTCATCTTTCTTTAGCTCCCTGGCCGTGAAGATGGTTTACTGTGGCAAGGTATTTCCATTGCTATGACCTGTCCCTGAATAAATATCATTTTCATTTCTTTGTATTTGTTACTTAGGTCAATACATGGTTCAAAATTCAACATAAGTAATAGGAAATTGAAGGAATAGGAATAGGAATGGAAGTAATAGGAAATTGTTTGGGTATAAAGACGATATGGCTTTTGCACATGGTCAAAGCAGAAAACATCTGCATGGGGTGGGGAACCTGTGGCCGTGGGGCCACGTGTAGGCCTCCTGATGTCCACCTGCGGCCTCTGGACTGGATTCAAACTTTATTAAAAGGAATTTGTTCTGTAAAATTTGGATTCAAGTCAAAAAGCCACACTCAGGGATGCAGAAAGCCACAGGTCCCCCGCCCTCGTAACCCTTCCTCTAGGGAATCCAGGAGTGGTTTCTGCCTATGTGGATCTGCAGCTAAATGTGCAGACTGAGGCAAGGTGTGTGTGGGATACTTAGTGCTGGTCTCCTGAGGGTGGGAAACAATGTCTCTGAGCTCCTCTTGCAGAAGCATCCTGGAAAGCCTCAGCTCTGGGCAAGGGTCTCCCAAGAAGACTGTTTCTTCTTCTCTTCTTTTAAACCATCCCCCTTTAAGGAAATTTCAAGGAGAAAATATCTTCCCTTGATGAAGACACCTGGCTCCATTTTAGCTTTAAAAGAAGCTCTTGCCATTATTATTATCGATTATAATTATTGCCCACTAAGAACTGGCGAGTATTAGTAACAACAGACGAGGAAGTGCTTCACCGCTCACCGAGAAACTCTTGCAACCACCATCTCATGCCGCCCTCACCCTCGCCTTGCTAGTCTATGATTAGTCCCTTCTGTTACCTGCAGGGGGACAGCCTCACGGGGTGGGGGGCGGGGGGGTCAGCCAGGGTAGGCTCGATCGATGCCAGGCTGCCTCAGTCTCAAGCCCATGCCTTTTCTAATTGTCCTTCCTCAGATCATGTGGACTCTAGAAATTACTTCCGAGGCATCCAGAATCCTAGTGACATGAGTGGAAGACCCACAGGCAAAGCTCCCTCCAAGTATCCAGGGAAGGTTTCTCCCAGCGGGAAGCTGGGGAGGTGTCAACACTGCAGGAACAACAGTCCCCACTCTTACCCTCCCTCTCTCTTCTAAAGACTGAGACCCGGCTTGGGAGAAGGGAAAGAGGGATCTCTTGGGGTTTGTCCCTGCCCTCTGGTTGATCATATTTGGAAACTGCTTCATGGTGAATTTTCCAGAAACTAGATACAAGGATCGAAATTGGGTTTACAGCTCAAGTGACCTACATTTCACCTAACCCACAGTGGAGATACTGTTCAGGTCTTGTGGTGGTTTTCCTTGTAAGCATCAAGCTTAATTGGGGCTCATCAAATCCCGAGTCATGCTATTCTCCAAATGGATTAACTCTCGTAGTTTCCACAGGGCAGAGGAGGAGGCATTGTTGCTTCATGGTTCAGAACCGTGGCTTCAAAGCCACGGTTTGCCATGACGGCTGCACGGCCGTGCAGTGACCCTTCACCTCCCAGCTTCCTCATCTGTGCAGTGGGGATAACAATGGCTCCTACATCTCAGCAAGGTTGTCAGCAAGGTTCCCCAGGGCGACACATACCTGGGTTGTAGGACAGGACCCAGACGGAAGTCAGTGCTCAGAAAGGCCATTGTCCTCTTTCCTCCTCTCCCTTGCCCTCCTCTCCTTCCAGAACAGTTCAGACCTAATCTAGGCTGCGGGTGGGGAGGATGCAGTGGAGGTGGGAGACTGGCTGCACCCAAGGGCAGTCAGTACATTAGTGAATGGAGAGTGGATCCTGGGGCCAGGCTTACCTCTGTTGGAGAGAGGAGCTATATGTGGCAGAGAAGACCAGGAGGAACCCCCAGTGGAGGTGCCGCTGAGTACTGTGTGGGATAAAGGTCATCTGCAAAACCCCAGAGGGAAACACAGTAACACAGATGCAGGGCACGTCTGGGCTTGCTGCCCTGCACCCAGGGTGGCTGGGTGTGTGTACACGCAGTCCCTCTGTGGACCCTGACTCCCCAGTGGCAACCAGGATCCCAGCATCCAAGTCTTGACATCTGAATTCTGTTTCTCATGACAGAAATGGAGCACCTGGGGAAACTTCTTATTTGAGGACTGGACAGTTTGTGCCAGAAAACAAGCAAGTTCAGTACTCTAAAGAATAACGGGGGTGTCAAAGGACCCCAGTGCCGGTTCAGATGGACTCCTGCTGGCAAATTAGGGACAAACTGAGCATCCAAATATATAATGATAGTAACGATCATGACCCAGTGAATAAAACAGGGACTCATGAGTCTGTGCAGATATAAATCAGTAAATGAATAAATAAGTCGAAAGTTTAATGAGGAATAAGACATTTGCATACTTCTAAAGTAGGTCCCAGATGTATCTCAGCATGCAAGTTGTTTTAACATTTGCGAATTAACATAACCTACCAAATTAACACAATAAAATAGAGTAATCTCAGTAGACACAGGAAAAGATCTGACAAAATCTGACAGCACTTTAGGACTAAAAACACCTCAACCCCCCCCAAATGCCAACACTCAACAAACTAAGAATAGAAAGGAATTTCCTCAGCCTGATGAAGGCCATCCCCGCAAAAGACCAAGAGCTTCCCCCTAAAAGCAGGAGCAGGAAAAGGATGTCTGCTCCCACCAACCACCTCTATTCAATGTCGTGCTGGAGCTTCCAGCCCATGTAATCAGGCAAGAAAAGAAATAAAAGGCAGCCAGATCAGAAAAGAAGACATTAATTGATTAATGCCAGCTATCATCAGATGACAGGATTATCTTTATGAAATAGTCTATGGATTCTACAAACAAGCTACTCTAACAAGGGTATTTATAACATGGCAGAGTATGTCAACATGCAAAAATCAATTGTATTTCTATATCCTAGCAACAAACAATTGGAAACCATTTACAGCGGTATCTAAAAATGTGAAGTACTGGACACCTGCTCACATTGGTGAGGGGAGTAAGCGGTGCTAAGTCACTGGTGGTGATCTGTTATAATTTCTTCTCATTCTCAGTAATGTTCACTTTCCTATCTTGGACCAAAAAAAGGGCACCTTTATTAAATACAAAGGAGTGGAGAGGAACTTTGCTGAGAAGAAGCCTGGCGTTTCCTAATCAAGTGATCCAAGTCAGCACCTTCAGGATGGGCAAAAACGGAAACCCTGCAGCCCTGGGAGCTTGCGGCCACCCGGCTCCATCTCTCCTCTGCGGTAACTTCTACCAGGAACCACAGCCTGAACCTCATTGTGGGGAAATGCCAGGCACGTCTACACGGAGGGGCACCCTACAAAAAGGCTGGTTTCAGCCTTTGCAAGACACAAGGTCATCAAAGCCAAGGTAAGACACAGAGAGTGAGCCACAGCACGTGGCCGGGAACCAAATGTCCTTGCTGTAAAAGGCACTTCGGGGACACTGGTTCGGGGGGCTGTGAGTGAGGCCTGAGCGTTCTCTGGTAAGGCAGCAAGGCCGTGTCCGGGCTCCCACAGCTGTGCTACGGCCGTGTGTAGGAAACACATGTGGAGGCAATGCAGAAGTTGTGATGCACCAGATCTAAGCTCGCCAACGTTTAAGAAAATTAAACGTTCTTTTTTACTGAACTTCACCTTTTCTGTAAGTTTGTGATAGTTAAAACAACTTTTTTTTGAAACAGATTCTCACCCTGGACTGAAGTGTGATAGCATCATCACAGCTCACTACAACCTCAAAGTCCTGGGCTCAAGCGATCCACCTGTCTCAGCCTCCAGAGTAGCTGGGACTCCAGGCACCTGCCAGCAGCCACAGCCAGTTTTTCTATTTTAGGTAGAGACAGGGTCTCCCTCTTGCTTAGGTTGGTCTTGAACTCTTGGCCTCAAGAGATCCTCCCACATCAGCTTCCCAAAGTGCCAGGATCATAGGTTTGAGCCACCAGGCCAGATTTTTTAAGGTGGGGTCTCACTATATTACCCAGCTGGTCTCAAACTCCTGGGCTCACGTGATCCTCCTGTCTCTGTGTTCCTAGTAGCTGGGATACAGGTGCAGCTAAAAGTATTTTGAAAATTGAAAAGCCCCATAAGAATGTAACTACTGTCATTATTATCTGGAACTGCAGGGTCCAATATGGTAGCCACTAGCAACAGGTGGCTAAGTATAAATTCATTAGGGTCTTAAAAAATGGAAAGCTCAGCACCTCCATCTCACTAGCCACCTTTCAGGTGTGCTGTAGCTGCAAGTGATGAATGTACCATATCGGACCACACTGCCCTGGAGGACCAGGAACCTGGATGTGGGTACCTGGATGGTGGCTTTGGAATGTCACCAACCTTGGGCTTGAGAACACTGAAGAGGACTGTGGGTCTCTCAGCATCTGGTGGTGGACCCTGAGGCCCAAGGTGAAGACATCTCTGACAGGGATCGAAGCTCCTATGCATAGTGTGTCCCCAGGTTCCTCACACAGGGTGACAAGCCCTGGGGGCAGCGAGACACTCGCATCAAACAGAACCTGGGGCTACTCACCAGTCTGCCGACTATGGTCTCGGAAGCAGCCTGGCCTAAGTGCTCAGATGGGACCAGGATTTCCTGGGACGGCTCTGCCGTGGGAGCCACTTGTTCTCTTGATTCCGACGGGCTGGGCATCCCTTTGGGGGAGCCTTCCACATCCATGTCCCTGCTGCCTCTTTCAGGCAGGTGTTCGGGGCTGCCTTCCTCTGTAGGCGGTTCCCAAGGACCGACTTCTGAGTAGGTCAGAGCCAGGGAGCTGAGTTGCCTATGAGGGGATACAGTTTCTAAATCGGATTCAAATTCCTCTTCATACCAAACTTCCTCTTCGTATTTGCCGTCTTCATATTTGGTGTCCTCCTCTGGTTTGGGAACATCTTCATACAGGGAGGTGGCTTCGTGTTGGGAGTCCCCTTCGTAAAGGGGATAGCCTCCAAACAGGGGGTCCCCTTCATACAGGGGGTACCCTTCATACATGGACTGGCCTTCAAGTGAACCTTCTTCACCAGCGCCTTCTCTCTCAGGGTGTTCCATAGCACCAGCAGCCTCATCACTTTCCTGGCCTTTATCCGTCTTCAGTGGTGACACCTGTGAAGGTGTGACAGAGAAAAAATCAGGGAATACCATACAAAGGACCAGAGGAGGGGTCGTCCTGTCTAGTGTGATTATACTGACCGCAACACCGCATTTACATACGAGATCATGTTTCTTGCTTTAGTTTATCTGTTCTCTCTGACTTTCATCATGGTGCATCCTCATTACCAGAAACAAGTTCTGAAAAACTCAGGCCAACCCAAGTGGGATGGATATCTTTGGCGTTTCTGACCAATCACTGACCTTTGGAGTGGGGTAGAAGGAAAATGGACTTCTCTGCAACTGAGTTATTTCAGTGCAAGGTAATAGAGTGGTCATACAATTTACTTGGCCAAGTCCTAATTCTTTTTAATTTCTGGCAAATGCAACCCCAGGATAGCTTCCCACAGGGAACATTACCGGGCTGCCTTCCTTGTCCTGCTCTTCTGCCTTGGAAGCCGACCTGTCTTCCGTCCCGCCTTCTGTCCCATCTTCCGTCCGGCCTTCCGTCCGGCCTTCCGTCCTGCCTTCCATTCTGCCTTCTGTCTTGTCGTCCTTCTTGTCTTCCGACCCACCTTCTGGGAAAGACCTGATTTCAGAGAACAAGTGAACGGTTTTAGGAAAGTTTCCTTTCTCTTGGCACGGATCACCTCCTGAATCCTGCCCGTCAGTTTATGCCCCTGTTGCGTCTCTGTTCTGCACTTGTTTATGTACTTCTCAATTTGTGTGCTTGGAAGCCACCCCCCACCTTCCCACCATGTGCCATCATTTCGTCTTGTTTGTCACTCACCATAGGACTGTATATCACCTGTGGGGGGCGGGGGCAAGTGCACAAAGAGGCACTGCATGAACAAATGAAAAAGTCAATTGGAAAAACGTCACAGGAACAGCAGCCTTAGATCATCCCAGAAACGTCACCTCAAATATACTGTGTCTGGGACAAAACTAGGGAAATGAAATACTAAGTGGAGAAAGTTGGGCAACTGGGACAAGTACTCTTGAGTCACATTTAAAAATAATTTTTAGGGCGGCACCTGTGGCTCAGTGAGTAGGGCACCAGCCCCATATACCAAGGGTGGCAGGTTCAAACCTGGCCCTGGCCAAAATGCAACAAAAAATAGCCGGGCATTGTGGCAAGTGCCTGTAGTCCCAGCTACTCGGGAGGCTGAGGCAAGAGAATCACCTAAGCCCAGGAGTTAAAGGTTACTGTGAGCTGTGACATCACAGCACTCTACCAAGGATATAAGTGAAACTGTCTCTACAAAAAATAATAAAATAATAATAATTTTTTAAAATTAAAAATGCAAGCTGATTTTTTCTGTCAAACTCTTACAAATGTGTGGTCATGGACAATGACAGCCCCTGTGACCTTCTCTTTCCTTCCCAGTGGTAGTAGTGAGAGATTTAGGGCTATCTATATTCTTTCCATTTTTTTTCCTATGTATGCCTAAATTTTTTCCATATGAAGCCTAAATTAGAGATCTCACTGTTTTACATTTAGTCTTTGTATTTCATGGAACCTGGATGCTTTCTATCTTTTTTTTTTTTTTTTGAGAGTCTCTCTGTGTTGCCCTTGGTAAAGTGCTGTAATGTCATAGCTCACAGCAACCTCAAGGTCTTGGGCTGAAGCGATTCTCTTGCTTCAGCTCCCAAGTAGCTGGGACTATAGGCACCTGCCACAACACTCGGCTATTTTCTTGTTGCAGTTGTCATTGTTGTTTAGCAGGCCCAGCCTGGGCTAGGCTGGAACACGCCAGCCTCAGTGCATGTGGCCAGCGCCCTAACCACTGAGCTATGGGCGCTGAGCCCTTTTTTTCTCTTTTTAATAAAACAATATAGCAATGTGTAAGGTAAAAAGGTCAAAATCTTTAAAATCGTTTCTATCCTTTTAAACCAAGCATAAGCAAGCAGAGGCCTGGTTACTAACCACACCCTCTGACCTCAGGGACCCCTGCCCCTGTCTCTGCCAAGCCTTGCAGGAAGGAGGCGCAGGGCTGGGCTGCTGTCAGGTCCCCTTGAGTTGCCCGGCAGGTGGCCCAGGAGGTGGTTCACAGGGACAGAACCTGCATACTGCAGTCCCCAGCACGTAGCTGGGACGCTGAGCCTAGTGGTTGCCATGGTTACTGCAGGGCGGGCGACCCGGGTTTTAGAGGGAGTGGTGCGCTTGGAGTTGGCGAAGGGAGGTGACGGAGGACAAAGGGGCAGGAGACGAGAAGAGAGGGGGCACGCGGGCGTGGAGGCGGAGTGAACCGGGCGGACGAGGAAAGGCCCAGAAAATGGGGAGAAAAAAGGACAGAGGCGGGAAGAAAGCGCGTGGAGGCGGGGGTTGTCGAGAGGGACTACGAATGGGGGCGACGCGGGGGCCATCAGGCGTGGACCGAGGAGCACTTCCCGGCCGCTCGGAGACCCGCGTCGGCTCTTCCCGGCTTACCCGCCCGCCGCGTCGCCCGGCTCCGCCATCTCCCGTTGCTAAGCGACACCGTCAACATCCGGCAGGGCCTGGGCGCGAGCACGGAGAGGGGGCAGCCGGGGCCTGGCGCGGGACAGCGTGGCCATTATGCCAGTTATATACATGACCATAGAAGCACGGTCATCTAGTATGTAAATGTATTAAAACATACATATGTATTTTCTTTATCGCTTTATCTGCGTCTGGGCTCTGCCCTGCTGACTCAGTCTCTGTGTAGCGACAGGTGTCAACGTGCGCCCAGCCTGGCGACTCAGATGTCCCGAGGAACCTGCCGGGCGCCTGCTAACGTGGACGCGGACGCTGCGAGCCCAGGGGGCGGCCAGCAGGGTGGGGGACCCAGGGGCCGGCACTCCGCGCCTAGCGCTGCCTTTCCATCGTCAACCCTGGGTAGCTCGCGCGTCCTCTCCCCTGGGTCCTGCGAAGAATCCTCTTCATGCCCGGTGGCCTTCTGGTGGGTGTCGTTTCTTCTTAGCCCCAAACGCGGAAACTATAAATGCAGAGGGCGACCCAGAGAGAGCGAACGCACGCGGCGAGCATCCAAGGGTCCTGCCTTCCCCGGGGAGCGCGGAGCTCGAGTCAGGGGAAGAGTCCCGGCGGCCAGGGCTCTGGGCTGGGGGCCAGGGACCCGCGCCAGGGCGCCCAGAGGCGGACGAGGGCGGTCCGAGGGCGGTCCCGGGGCCGGGCCTCCCGCGCGTCCCCGCCCCGCCGCGCCTCACTGGCGGCTGCCGCTGCGACCGCGGCGGCGGCTCCCGGAACCGGCGCGAATCCGGCCCCCGCAGCGGGACCCGGGTAGGTATTCAGGCCCGGCCGGGACCCCGGGAGCGGCCCACTGGGACCGCCGCGGACTGAGCAGCGCCCCCTCGGCGGATCCCCGCTGGAGGCGCGCCGGGAGCGTGGGCCTGCAGCCGAGGGCCCGAGGAGGGACGGGGAACGGTCCAGCCGTAGCCCTAGGGATGCGGGGCGCGATCAGGACCCCGGTGTTACGGGAGGATCCGGGATCACACAGGGGACACCCTGGGGCCCCCCTCCGTGGCTAATGAGGGTGCCCTGGGTGAGGAATGGGCCTAATTCTGGGAGACTCATTCCCAGCTTGTCTGGAGCCATGGACCGGGGAACTAGTGGTCTTTGTCTGGCTGGATCGTCAGAGCACGCGACTGGGACCTTGTGGGGTGCCGGCGCTCGTCGACGCAGCCCCCAAAGTGTGCTTTTATTCCTGGGGCGCATGTGCTCTTAGCGTTTGCGGGCCTGTGGGCTGGGAGGTCCGGGCGGTCAGATCTGCGGTCAGCGCGCTCACTTCCTTTCGGCCTGGGCTCGGCTCCCTCGGTCTGTCCTTAAAAAGAAAAAGGAAAAGAAAGAAAAAGGAAAAGAAGGGAGAAGAGGAAGAAAAAAAAGAGGAGGGGTGGAAAGGCAATTTAAGATTGCTAAAAATAACATACGGAATCCTGCCAGAAGCCGATGAGTCTTGAAATCCTGTTATTCCCACGCTAGGAAGTTGGTGTCATATGCTGTCCACAACCTAGTTCAGATTCGATTCAGAAATAGAGAACGAATAGAAGAGGGCATGATAAAAGTTTGTCACTTTGGGCATGGCAAAGTTGTTCCACTGCCTTGGAGGAGTTCACAGGAGGAGCTGGGCTGGTGGGCAGCCCCTGTGACTTGATCCCACGCATTTGCTTTCTTAACTATGTGAAGACACCTAATTCTTTTATCTGAAAAGAAAAGGGAGATGCTTCTCAAAGATGCCCATATGATGGGCCATATTATCAGAGGGTGGGTGCAGACAGGGGTGGGGGAGTTCCATACCAACCATGCTTTGTGGTTAAAGTGCTTAACGGGTCTGTGCACTTGTTTTAGAAACTGCTCATTATAAATATTGGCATTAAATTAGTGAATATTAAACACTTTAAAGAGTCACGAAAGCTTCTGCAAATAAAGGATTAGTAAAGTGAGGAATACCCCTTAGTAGTAACCACAGAGTGCGTTCATGGCTGGCTGTCGTCGGCTTTGAAAGGTGTGTTGTCTGCTGTGTGTAGCTATTTATTTTATGTAGTTCTTGTTTTTGTATGTGGAGTGTTTATGATGAGAGTATGGCTAAAGAAAGTTTCCATCAGTAGACTTATTTTATCCTCCGGCAATTACGGTGGTTGTATAACTATATTGCTCCTGGTTATCATCCATGAATTTACTTACCTAACAAAACAATCCCAGGAAGTCGGGACTGCAGTCACCCACCCATTTAACAGATGGGGACAGTGAGGCTTAGAGAAGTAACTTCCTCAAGTTCATGCAGCGAGGAGGGACAGAAGGAAGTCTTGGGCCCAGAATGGCCCAGCTGCAGAAAACCACTGTGCCACACTGCCTCCCCACTGTTAATAGGTCCTCATCATTCTTATAAATACAATCTACCAAGTGACTCTTAAAAATGCAAGAACTAATTCCAGGTCACCATTGGCTTCTACCGTCTGTTTGCTCTAGTCAGTAAAGAGTCCCCAAGCCTTCAGTGCCAAGGCGTCTGGGAACAGACATGGATTTTGCAGAATCCACCTACAGTGGCGCTGGTCTCTCTGGCCTGTTTTGGGTAGCTGGTGCCATGGTAAAGAACATGACATGCAGAGATAGCCTGCTGGGTTCAAATACCAATCCTGGCATCTAACTTAATTCCTCTGTACCTTAGTTCCCGTTGTAAAATAGGAATGATAATAATAATACCTGCCTCAAAGACCAGGGTTGACTGGTATATAGTAGTAAGTGCTTGTTACCGTTTATTCTTATTAGTTAGATCATCATTAGATTTTTCACATTTAGCTAGGTTGGCAAGAACATTTTGATTTTCTTCTTGTTTACTGGCCCCTCGTTTCTGTGATCTGTCAGGTGGAAAGCTGAGTACAGGCCAACTCAGAATTTGTGGCCATTTGCACTATCTTCATAGCTGGCCAGGGCTGGTCCCTGCAGGGTGTTGTGGGGAGTGGAGCCAATCAGGTTGCCTGGCAACTCCAATCTCCTAGGAAAATTTTAGTTCCCCTTTTCCCCCAGCTGAGAGACCCTGATTTTTTTCACAGGCCTAAATCCTTTCCTGTGAGATTAGCTACTTAGTTTCATTCAGTGTTAAAGGCAGGAGAGGGGGGCTCATGACTGTCCAGGACCTTCAGCAGCAGAAGTCAATCTTGGCCATGTCCTCCACGCCAGGATCATCTCTCCCAGAGCTGGGTTGTGTCCATATGCCTGAGAGGCCAAGACCCGGGAAAGAAGGCATAGGTCTGAGCTCTCTTCTTCCCCAAACACAGGGAAGTGACATTGGAAGTCTCTCTCCATTCACTGGGGTGGTGGTGGTTTTCATCCCCTGTGTCCTTTGGGCCTGGATCTTATATCTCAATAAATCTGCTTTTATGAGCCATCCAGTGGCTTCTGATCTGAAATACGATCTTTACTTTGTCCTTAGAATCCAGGTAACCATCCTCAAAGGATGAGAGAAGTTGGGCCTTGTGAAGCCTGAGTTCAGTTTATGCTCCAGGTAGCGCCCACCACACGGACAATACGTGTTCTAGGAAGGGGACAGACAGTCCGAGGGCATTGTCCAGGCAGGGTGGCTTGTTCTCTTGCTGAGCCTTAGGCAGTGATCTGGGCAGGTGTTTAAATGACCCATAGGGACGGCAGATGCCGGGAGGTAGTAGTGCTGTGTGGTTCTTCTGGGTCGGTCATGGTGGAAGGCAGCGCAGTGTCCCGTGACACCGCATCCAGGCCGGCTCACACACTTTGGTTTATGGCTGGCCTGCCAAGGGTGAGTGATCCTGAATTTCGTAGTCTGACACAGCTGCTGTTTCCCCTCTCTAGTGTTCTGAAGTGAGGGGAAGGGCTCACTTTGCAGTGTCGTTTGACACCCTTCACCTTCCGATTTCTGTAACGAAAATGCTTTCTCTGAGCAAGATCCAATTGTGTTGCTCTTTCGTGGTGTCCATACCCCCACCCCATTTGAATTTCGTTTCATGGTGTATTAGCTGCTACTTTACTGCAGACAGTGAGAACCTTTAGGCGTCCGTGTGTACAGGTGCCCAATCCAGTTCTGGGTCACCGGGTTCCTGGCTGGCTTTCCACCCTTCCTCGTCTTGTGGGCTCCATCTTTCCTCAGTCCCGGATCCCAGCGTCTCCAAGTTTAGCTCCTTCTCCCAGGCCTGACTTCCTCGGCTCTTTAATGAGAAAATAGGGTTTTAGACTTACTGTCAAGGGGGCACACACAGCAGAGAGCCTCCACTTGGAGGTGGAGGCTTTGGGTTTTGCGGGGTGTGGGTGATAATTAGAGGGACCACTGGACAGCTGGAGAAGGAAGACACAGCAAAGCAGACCTCCAGGTTCCCCTCCCCTGTGTTTGGTTAACTGTCCTGTCTGATTACAGCTGCTCAAAGGTTTTCCCCTGTGGTTACTGGTCTAAGGTTCCAGCATGGGGGTTAATGCTCTAAAACTTAGTCCCTTCATTTTATTTATTTATTTTATTTTTTATTTTTTTATTGAATCATAGCAGTGTACATTAATACTATCATGGGGTACAGTGTACTGTTTCTGTATACAATTTGAAATACTTTCATCCAACTGGTTAACATAGGCTTCATGTCTTTTTCTTAGTTATTGTGTTAAAGTCCCTTCATTTTAAATGCAAGTTGGTTTGTTCTTTTCTCACTTTGAATCCTGGATATGATGTCTGTGTAAAGCGAATACATTTCTCTTTTGCATTTTCCTATAACTTGAAGTTAAGTACAACAGGATTGGGGAGGGGGTGTCAGCCCCACAGGGGCTTGCCTGGGTGGTGAGACTGCAGGAGACCCAGCTTCTCTGAGCTGTGCAGCCTGTGGCTGGGTTCTGGTCTGGCTGCAGGGTTATCACCCCCTTTGATCCACAAAGCCAGGGGTTCCAGAAAAGATGGTGGTGCACCTGCCTGCATCCGGGAGGGGCGGGGAGCTGGGGCCTCACTGAGGCGTGCCAGCAGCAGATGTTGTGCGGGAGGAAAAAGATCCTTGTTTGCCTGTGGCCGGCTCGTGTTTAAGCCATCACCTTATCCCTGCTCTTTGTTGCTTGGCCTTGGAGGGCAAAGCAGATGAACCGGTTTCTGCCGGGCACATGGCAGGTAACTGGAGCCCAGAGGATTTCGCATCTGAGTGGTCTGACGGTGATGAGGCTGGGGGATTATCAGCTGTGGGCTTCACTTCCTGACATGGCCCCTAAGTGTCCAGGGCCCATCCCCCCATGCCCTACCTGCTTCTGCCCCTGTTGCAGCCAGCAGCTGTCACCATGGGTCAACAATGGGCATGGGCTGCGTCCCCCAGCTGAGTGGGAACTGCAGCTCTGGGCAGTGCCAGGGCCAAGTCTGTCCCATGGACTGCTGGGTCCCAGCCCCTGACCCAGGGTGGCCCATGGCGGGCACACGGCACAGAGGAACTAGCAAACCAGCCTCTCTCCTAGGGGCTCCAGGCTGCCCTGTTACTTTGGTCTTCCTAGGAAGGTTCTGGAAGAGACTTTTGCACCTTTGCTCTTATCTGTTTACCTGTGTGGGAACTGTTGGAGCCTTTTACGTCAGGACAGGACGCCGAGGCAGGTGGAGGCAGGCTCTGGTCTGTAGCCTGTCTTTCTTGGCCCATTCTTGCTGCTCTCACAGGGACATTGGGACCCAGGTGGTCTCCTGTCCTGGTTTCTAGGCCTCAGTCCTCATCATATTCCTTAAAGGGGATTTGCCCTTTGTGAGGATTTGATAGTCAAAGGGGAAGCAGATCTGAAGCCTTCCTGGGAGTTAGAAGGCAGCT